ACAATCAAAATCATAAATTGATAACGTCACTTCCGCAAGCTTCATGTTCAGCCAATCAACTACTTTGAAGTCATCGGCAGTCAAAGGACCCCGAGCCGATCCTGCACCCGAGCCGATCCTGCACCAACACCGGTTCTAATGTGAAATAGGCTTCAACACAAGAGGTTGTTTTCCGCTTGGTCCTAGTGCTCAACCAGTGTCTTCTTTAACATAGAGTAATATTGTTTTTGGATAGTAAAAATCGCAGGGGACAAAAATTGACTTTGAGGGGAGACAGGGGGGACATGTCCCCCCCCCCCCAACTTTTTCCAAAGTGAATTTTTCTCCCCTGCACTTTGAACTGTGTCCATGTCAACACCTGTTTCCTGACCTCCCTCACTGGTCAAATGTGCAAACGTGTTGAAACAATAAACAATAACTGCTAAATAAGCATATGTTCCAGTATTAGCCACATCAATGTTTTTATGTTACATTGATCGGTAGTTATGTGTTATGTTTCTCAGGTTCAGCTGATGCTGTAGCTATAAAACTGACAAATTCTCAAAGAGAAGCTTCAGTAGGGGTAGACCGATGTATCGGTCGGCCGATATTTGTTCTAATCAAGCCAATTTAATGTCAGGCACATCCTTAGGCAGCATGGTGCAGAATTAAACGTAATTGTATTAATGTTATTTAATAACATCTGCATAATAAATACTCTAAATTAACTTAATTTAGTTGTCTGACTTTAACAGTGAGCAGTAAATAAAGTTAAGATTTAACAGCTAATTAAATTCAGAGTTCAAAAACTGATTCAGTTTCAGAAATGTTATGCAACCAATGTTATTAGTGATATTTTATCATGAAAATGAAGTGGAAAATGTCTAAATATTGGCCATTAAAATAGTCCCACAAAAACTGGCTGTACATATCGGCCATTGGCTGAGCTTTTCTCCTACATATTGGCATCAGTATCGGCATTAGAAAGTCTAATATTGGTTGTCCTCTAGTCTCAATTAGAAGAAGCTAATGGTTAGCATCAGCAACTCCACCACATGGCAGAACTCCTTCAGGCTTGTGTTATTCATAAAGCTAAAACATCAATGCCACCGAGAAAACAGGGTCAGTGGTAGAGTTGCATTGTTGTTAGCCAGTCAGAGGTGAGATGTCTGATTATCAGGAAAAAAAATGACTATAGACTTAAAAATGAAGGCCTGGGTTTCAAACCGCCACACGCATATTTGTACAGTGAGCATTGTGCTGATTGTAGTGCATCATTATTATTGTTATTATTATTTAAAACGTGCATGTTTCTAACCTCTTGTAGGGTTTTTATAACACATTTTCCAGAAAAGCACCGCAGGTTCAATTCGCAACAATCAGACAGTCACACAAGAGCAGAGATTAAACAACAGCTCTACAAACAGCATCTGTATCCAACCACCGCTTCGCTGCCAAAGCTGAAGTGAGCAGCTGCAGCTGAGCCCACAGCCAGCAGCTGATCAGGCTGTTTGGATAAGTAATGGCCATCAAATGCATCATGTTTAGAATTGCATTATTGCTGCTATCTGTAATTTTTTTGGGGGGGGGTCTATTTTTTGTACTTTCAGATACATCTAACTATGTTGCAATGACAACAAAAGTAATGAAAATAAATCTAATTCCAGGGTGTTTTGTTTATGATAAACCCGTGAGATGTTCCTCGCCTTGTTTACTGCGCATGTTTATTATTTTATTGCATTTTTGTCTGATTCCTTAGTGCTGTGAAACCCCAAATAATACAAAACCCTTCATCCTGCAGTTGTTCCAGTAGAATCAAGCAACAAGACCCGTTTGATGACACGCTATCTGCTTTTTATGTTCTAGTGAAAAAAGATGGCCTAGAACCAATTTTTCTTTGGTTTAAAGGGGGGTAAAGGCAAGTTTCAGCGTGACAGTTGATGAATGGTTGTTGGGGGGGACATCCATCTGCTGCATCAACAAAAGGAAATGGGATTGTCTTTAAAAAAAAGACAAGAGACAGATTCTCACAGATTTGGGCGTTAACGGTTGTGTGTTTAAGGGAGAAAATTCCTTTTCTCAATTTTTGCTTCTTTCTTTGCTCTTTCTCACACAAACACACACACAGAGAATTCTCTCGTGGCTGGATGCCATCTTGCCTAAATACCAACTATCTATCACCAGACATTTTTCATACTTTTTCAATTCAATAAGCCAACATGATTTATGCGGTGGCTGCGGCGGCTTGGTCTGGTCTGGTCAGGACTGAATACAGTAATGTACATGAAATACTTTTGTGTTTCATATTACAGTGATCATAAATAATTCCTTAAAAGACTTTTTTTTCCCTATATTTTTTATTCCATTCAAAAATACAAAAAAATATCAAAAAGATCCACTTTAAACTCAAGCACTTGTTTTTCATATTTCCCATTTTGTAAATTTGTGTGCACAGTGATGCTTTAGTATTTGCGTCCCATTTTTGATTAATTGTTGGTCCCTGTAAAGGGTCGTTTTAGCACATACCGAATCCAGAAAATAACTTAAAAATATAAAAATGTTGCAAATAAACACAACGGGCTATATTCTGCCTCAGATACATTATGGTTGGATAATTACCCTACATGCACACAAAGGATTTTAAAGTTTCAAAACTTGTAAAAATAAATGTGGGAATGTTTTGTTCTTTATGTTGTTTCACAGAATAAAAGTTTGACATACAAGACCTTTTATCCTTTTAGACGTTTTGATAGAGCAGAATAAGAGCAAATGATTTCCCTGTGTCTTGTTAATAGTTTATGAACCACTTCATGGTTTGCATCGTAAATAGCAAAGGGAGGCATCTGCTGTTTTCTTGGAAAAATTGCTGATGTCCTTCATCCTTTTCTCAGGGAGACTCAAACTCTTTGTCCTCTCAAGTTGTTTACAAGGATGCACTTTGAATTAAATCATGATCACGTTCAGTAATTGCAGAATTCTAGCCAGATGCCACTTGATTGAAGGTGTTCATTGCAAACCTTTGCATATTTAGACCTACATATTACAAGAATTTATATAAAATATGAACAGATGCAAGATAAAAGAAAATGTTTGCAATCAACTCATTTTATAATCCACTCTGCTTCAAGGGTTTAATGAAGTAAACAGTTTCTGTTCCAGTTTTGCTTCAGAACAACAACAAAGTATCTCAGAGTTTCTGTTTTTTAGTTGTAGTTTGTTTGGACTCAAGTCAAAGGAATGAAATCATCCTATATGTGCATTCTTTTCTGTTATATTGTCATTTTTATTCATGAAACTTTTTTTGTTTTTTGCAAAACCAGCATTTTTTAGTGGCTGCCAGCCCTGCAAATAAACAGCTGTATAAGATTTCCATTCAAAAGCATCTCTTGGTGTTACTCTCACACCCACAAAAGCATTCAGAGAGAGAAGTGTACCATATAAATTCATGCTCTCACAGTAAGGCTACATAACACATTCATAAGCCTTAGGTGTGTGCATATTGAAGGTTATCATTTAAGACTGACTATTTTATTATTACTGAGTCATTTAGTGTAGATAAAATAAGTTTTTGCATGGAAAACATTTGTACAGCTGACAGTCTTGATAGTAATGTGATACAAAATCCAAGTTACTCTTATTTTTCGGCACAAATTTCATTAACATTAATTTACATAACTGGTATCTTTGTCCCTAACCTGTTAACTAAATAAATACAAACCTCATGTTACTAGAAAAAAAAGTCCCCTTTTATGTAGAATTTTTCATCATTTTGTTCTACATTCTTTTATAAATTTTCACATTATTTACCCCACAATGATTTTGTACCATTCCTCTGCGTAGTGTTTGTTCTGTAACTCTTAGCTTTGAAGAGTTTGCCGGTGATATAATGAGAAACAGAAAATGAAACATTAAGAAACGTAATATAAATCTCTAAGAGTCACTTTCAGCAAATGTATAGTGAATGTTGTTGAGTTCAACATTTCTTACAGTATGATTCATGTCGATTTAGTGTTTTCAGTCTGCTGTGTTCTTTAGCAGAGTGTGATGTGAGTGCACACAATCACACACAGAAAAGTGACCAATGTGTAAAAACTGCACAAATATGGAAACATTCAGAATTAGCATGTTGATTTTTCTTCTCAAGAGGACAGATGGACACGTGCATCTATCCCTGCTGTTTGTTGTGTGAACAGTTAGTTGATTCAGTCAACCCTTTTTTTGTTAGTTTTTGCTGACATCAAGAGAAAATAACACCATTTTTTACAGAATTAAGAATTCCTCTGAGTTGAACTCAGCCCAACCAACAAAGCACATCATCATATCTCACAGGGGGTGAGTGAGACACTGGTAACAGCAGATGGGGCTGGCTTTTGTGTTTGCGTGGGTGCAAGTTTGTGTATTTGAGTGTGTGTGCCTCAGGAGGTGTGTCACAACAAAAATCCCCAGTAGCACACCAGATGAAGAAAACAAATGAGCACTTTTCCCATTTTCGTTGGTGAAAGAGAAACCCGCATGCGCTCTCTTTCCATCTCAGCAGGGTTTACATGTGCAGACTTCTGTAAATGTTGCTGTGTGTGTGTGTGTGTGTGTGTGTGTGTGTGTGTGTGTGTGTGTGTGTGTGTGTGTGTGTGTGTGTGTGTGGTGTGTGTGTGTGTGTGTGTGTGTGTGTGTGTGTGTGTGTGTGTGTGTGTGTGTGTGTGTGTGTGTGTGTGTGCTGTTCTAAGATGAGGGAATAGAGGCAGAGTTTGTTTATGCCGTGAATATAAATGCAGATTTATACAGCTAATCTAGCGTACAGACACTAACAATCCTAAAAGGAGCAGAAAAGACACAAAGTATGTTTTTATCCGTTTCTCAGTATTTTATGGTGTGTGGGAGGTGCTAAAGACTGTGTCACGTTACCTGCAAGCAATTTGCATTTCAAATTATTTCTAGAGTGCTGTATTTTTAAGTCAGGCAGAAAGCAGTTTACATGGGTAATTATTGTAATGCCTATTCAAAATGTTCTGTGTTTTGGACAGGTGCAGAGTCACAACGAGAGAAAGAGAAAAAGACGTAGCCAAAGAGAACACAGTCCTCCAAGGAACGGTACTATGCACACACACAAGCATCACCACACCTACATGTTAAACCATATTAAGGAACATAGTTTCCCCTCTGGCTATAGTGTTATGTTCCATTTAATAGTCTGGTGTTGCTTAATGATTGCTCTATGTGCATTGGCTTATTGTGCATTCATCAACATGACACACATCTAATCAGACAATTAGTCCTCATCTTGGGCTAATTTCCATGTATCTATTCATCACCGTAACTGGTTCTCTAATGGAGCACAAATGAATCGTCAGTTAATTATCACGTGGAAACCATGTCCACACACACACACACACACACACACAGACAGACAGACAGACAGACAGACACACACACACACACACACACACACACACACACACACAGCACATAAATGTCTGCTTGACGAAATGGCAGAGATGTTCTGGACATTGTCACATATCAATCAAAACCCAACAAGTGTGACATTTGTTGTAATATATATATATATATATATATATATATATATATATATATATATATATATATATATATATATATATATATATATATATATATATATATATATATATATATAATAAACAGAACATATCTATCCGAGATTCTAATGTTCAAATGTAACAAAGAAAGAAAACAATGTTTCATTTAACACCTCTCAAGATAAAAATCATGAGGTGCTTCACAACATCAAACATTTTAAAATATAAAAAATATTTTCTAAAATTATTAAAAGTATTTTATATGAGAAAAAATATAAGATTGCCATTAAAATGTAAGGAAAGAGAAAGAGAAAATGAATAGGAAAGAGGGAAATCAGTGGGTCCCGGGAAAGGTGGAGTAGGCAGAAAGAGCAGAATAAGGAGAGGGTGATGACGAAGGTCAAGCAAAGGCCAGCTTGAACAAGTGCATTCATATATTACATATGTGAACTTCAGTTATATAGAACAAGATAAAGGTGTGTATTTCAGGTGTGAGCTGTTCCATAGCATAATCTCTGGATTAAATCAACTACTAGCTTTTACACAGCAATAAAACTCAATGAAAACTCTAGGATGTTTGACAAGTGATCAAAGCTACAGAGTCCCCTTAGAGACATGGAAAACACTAAAATAAAATAGACACTCTATAGCTGGGACACACTATCTGGTGCACATGAGTTACCAGCTGGAACCGTGCTGAGCCATTTTGCATTTTTGCTGTAAATGGTAAATGGCCTGTATTTGATATAGTGCCTTCTAAAGTCCTGGGACCCCCCAAGGTGCTTTACAACACAATCAGTCATTCACCCATTCACACACACACACACACACACACACACACACACACACACACACACACACACACACACAGCACATAAATGTCTGCTTGACGAAATGGCAGAGATGTTCTGGACATTGTCACATATCAATCAAAACCCAACAAGTGTGACATTTGTTGTAATATATATATATATATATATATATATATATATATATATATATATATATATATATATATATATATATATATATAATAAACAGAACATATCTATCCGAGATTCTAATGTTCAAATGTAACAAAGAAAGAAAACAATGTTTCATTTAACACCTCTCAAGATAAAAATCATGAGGTGCTTCACAACATCAAACATTTTAAAATATAAAAAATATTTTCTAAAATTATTAAAAGTATTTTATATGAGAAAAAATATAAGATTGCCATTAAAATGTAAGGAAAGAGAAAGAGAAAATGAATAGGAAAGAGGGAAATCAGTGGGTCCCGGGAAAGGTGGAGTAGGCAGAAAGAGCAGAATAAGGAGAGGGTGATGACGAAGGTCAAGCAAAGGCCAGCTTGAACAAGTGCATTCATATATTACATATGTGAACTTCAGTTATATAGAACAAGATAAAGGTGTGTATTTCAGGTGTGAGCTGTTCCATAGCATAATCTCTGGATTAAATCAACTACTAGCTTTTACACAGCAATAAAACTCAATGAAAACTCTAGGATGTTTGACAAGTGATCAAAGCTACAGAGTCCCCTTAGAGACATGGAAAACACTAAAATAAAATAGACACTCTATAGCTGGGACACATTATCTGGTGCACATGAGTTACCAGCTGGAACCGTGCTGAGCCATTTTGCATTTTTGCTGTAAATGGTAAATGGCCTGTATTTGATATAGTGCCTTCTAAAGTCCTGGGACCCCCCAAGGTGCTTTACAACACAATCAGTCATTCACCCATTCACACACACACACACACACACACACACACACACACACACACACACACACACACACACACACACACACACACACACACACACACACACACACACACAGGGGCGCCGTAAAGCGGTGAAAGATTAGGAAGATTCTAAGGGCCCACAGCTGTCAGGGGCCCAAAAAAGTTTCAAAGTTGAAAAAATCACAAGTACTTTACTTAGCAGTATTTTTTCTCATTTTGACAGTAAACAAACAGTCTTTTAGTCTTCATGAAATGTATATTTATTCAGAGGTCCCTACATTATTTTGACTAATTAATTTGACCCCCCCCCCCCCCCCCCACGGCATAAAATGGTACAGTCCACCTGGCCAACGGGCGCGTAGCGTCGATATTTTTTGAAGGTGCATAAATTATTTTCAATATTTACAATTACTTAGTAAACTTGTTTAGTATCATTTCATCTGAAGCTGATGACAAAAATGCTTTGGGTGTTTCATGAAGCTCGACCGATGTTGGGTTGTGGTTTTGTCACCTTGGTTTAGGATGAAACAAGAAGCTTCAGCTGCTTTGAGCTTGTCTTATCAGTAATATAAAGATTACGTTGTTCTAAAATACCTTCCTGTTTAACCTTGATGAATTAAATAAGCGTCTGCACTCATTCGCTCTAACATACTTGTTGTAGAAAGCACCTCGGCAGAGATAGGTATGTTTTATTCACGGTGTCTGATTTTGGGGGATGATTCGCTGTTCTGCCTAATTACATGTGGGATAAACAGCTTGGCCGTCTTCATCACTTAATTAAATTTTCAGCTGTGGGATGTGAAAAAAGAGGTGCAGAATCTGTTGTGATTAAATGCTGGACAATGGAGGTAATTCGCATAGATTTCAATATTGAGCCTTGATTAGCAGAGGTGTAGTTTTATTTATTTGTTGTTTCTTTTTCACTAAATTATTCTGCAAACCTTAAACTGTTTGTTTTCATGTTTTCTGGAAAATGAAAATAAATCTGGTGTTAACAGGATTAAGGTGAGTTGCTCTCAGTTTAGAGTTGGAGGGTTTATTATACTGTCTTACTGGATAAATACCATTGTTGTTCTTGCATTATTCACTTCTATGCAATTCAATGCAGTTGTTTTATGTGCTATCTGATTTGGAAGGAAAACATTTGCGGTGATGCATGTGGATCTTTTTTTTTTCCTTTGGACAATTTGTTATTTTCCCCAAAATTCCATATATTTAGCTTGTAAGTGATTTGATCTGAAATGTCCAACCCCAATAAAAACATTAGTTTCCAATTTGTTTATGGATTTGTTTTCTAATGTGCAGAATTAGAGCAAACCAGGTAAACTGTTGGAGGAGTTATTCTCTTCACTGCTGTTTCAGAGTAATCGGTGGATGTTGATAGCAGGAGGGAGAGAAAATGAAAATGAAGTAAAATAGTTGTTGATTTATGGCCAACTTTTCCACTGATTAAACCGTTTTATCACTCCCAACGTTATTTAAACAACACACACACACACACACACACACACACACGCACACACGCACGCACGCACGCACACACACACACACACACACACACACACACACACACACACACACACACACACATTTGAACATACACAATGTACTCTATATTTGCGTGTTGCATCATTTGAGAGAGAAAATAAAACATCATATTTGGGGCAGGAGTAGCTCAGGAGGTAGAGTGGGTTGTCCAGCAATCAGAGGATTGTGGGATCGATCCCGTCTCCAGTGAAAGAATGCTGTTGTTGTGTCCTTGGGCAATATTAACCATCCTTGCCTGCTGGTGGTGGTCAGAGGGACCGGTGATGCCAGTGCTCGGCGGCTTGCTTCTGTCAGTGTGCCCCAGGGCAGCTGTGGCTACATTGTAGCTCATCACCACCAGCATGTGCGCATGGGTGAATGACTGTTGTAAAGCGCCTTGGGGGGTGGGGGTTCCAGGACTCTAGAAGATGCGATATCACGCACGCACCATTTACCACAACCAGTCATATGGATGCACTGAAAAATTTAAGATTGAAATTTTCTTTGTTATGTGGAAAAAGTGCACATTTGTTGAGATATTTAACCAATCAAAAAGAAACATGGATGTTTTCCTCCAAAAGCATTAGCATGAGCCACTTGTGGGAGAGAATGCAGCTAATGGCAGACATATATAAATAATATTCATTGAGTCAAGCAATGAATCTTCAAACAACACGTGGTCAAGTGTGCAGGAGCAAATCTGTTTTATAAGTGGCTATTTCGTTCCAACTGAGGTGTTCAGAGTTTAGTTGCTAATATAACGTTGCAGATGACAATACATGAGATGCAAATGCACCAAAGTGAGCCAAGATCAAAACAGATGGAGAGAGGCAGGATAAACAAAACAGAAGAAACAGGCCTGAGCAGAATGGAGACGAGAGGTGAGAGTGACAGCTCCGGAAGCCTTTGATCTCAGGATTCTAATCAAAGGGGATTATAGTCTGTGTTCCTGTGTCAGTCCTGATTATTGGTGCAGCACCAAGAGGTGAACATCTAGAGCCTCGGCACAAAAGATACACAACTGAGCAGCGTTCTGAAGGAGGTAAAAAAATCCTCCGCAAATGCACATCTGATCAAAGTTTTAATATTTATACTGCTGTCAAATCTTTGTAAATATGTGTATCTCAGACTGTCTTTATGCTATGCTGATGCAAACAGCATTGTACTCAGCACTACATAATGTGCCAACAAGTGGTGGTAAAATTGTAAAACAAGATACATTGCTAATAAAATCACACAAAAGAAACAATAGCAAACGAA